CCGCTGCAAGACCATGCATGCATGCGAGTGACACGCATCTTCATCTCAACCGAGGCACTTCACCGCCCTAGGATGACAAAGCAACGGCAACATATCAGAACCCTGCATGGGCCCGGCCTCCTCCTTGCTGTCGTCAGCAGGCTCCTTGCCAGGTAAGCCAAGACTCTGTGAAGGCATTTCATTCGGGCGTTGGGCTGTCCAGATTTGAGGTGCAAGGCCGTCCTGCTGTTTCTCTGCGATGCCTCTGCCAAGGCCTGCCTTGGCCAGGGATCCTGTCATCGCTGACCTCGAGATGTACATGGCCTGGTCCATGATGCGCTGATTCGATAGTGGTGCGCGCTCGTCCGAGGGCCTGCGACGCCAATTGGCATCGATGTCCGGCCCCTCGCCCTGTGGGCGTGGGAAAGAATACTTGCCGACCCCCTTGCCTGCCCCCTTCGAGGAGTTGCTCCACTGGACATTCATTGGGCCAGCCATGCAGCCAGATGGTCCCACGCACCCTGTTCCTGCTGGAGGCATCTGGAACCCCATCGGCACCGTCTGGGCCATTTGGCCCATTGGGTTCGGATGACGCAGGCTCATGTGTCCCAGCTGTCCCTGGCAGCCCATTCCCTGTCCCATTTGACCAGCAGGGACGTAGGCAATCACGTACCCATCTTGGGGCACTTGCTGCTGCCAGCTTTGCTGCTGCCAACCTTGCTGCTGCCAGCCTTGCTGCTGCCAGCCTTGCTGCTGCCAGCCTTGCTGGTGCTGTGGCTGCCACTGCGGGACCCATTGCGGCACCCACTGTGGCTGCAGCTGAGGCTGACACTGGCCCTGCCACTGTGGCTGCGAGGGCTGTTGCCACCCAGCCGCCCACATGGCTGCACACAATATCCTATTCAGCCAGACTGTCTCAAGCAGAGGCTACGGGGATGCTGCAAGCACTACAAGGCCCTCATGAATCATCATGGTCCACGATTTACACAGTCGCCACGGCTAAAAAACAGCTAGCACCGCACAGCCTCCGGGACGCAGAAGGTCATGGAGCCCTCATCGCGAGGCAGCTTCAGTTCTTCACGATGCGCAGCGCCCAAGCATTGCGCGGCGGCGCACAGGGGATGTGTCACGGCTCGTTGGAATGCTCTGCTGGCGGGGCTGAACCCTATGGTAATCCCCGCTTCCAGCCTGGTTCAACATTGCAGGCTACCAGAAAGCCTGTGCTGATCTGCACTTTTCCTAATGCAGGCAAGAATGCAGGCAAGTGGCTTCACATGCTGTCAACGTAGTGCATCTGGCACTGTGGGGATTGGACGTGTGCGTGTGACGAATGCACGGGTGTGCCGACACGGATTTCCATGCTTCGGGGCTAAGCTAAATCAATAACGTTGCGCAGAACTCTCATGGATGCAGAGGAGCGAAAGTTGGGCACTTGTGCGACAGATTCAGGCTATGCTTTCAAGCGCACCAACCCTGCGTGCTTTTTTAATCCTATACTGCAGGAGAAATCCAAACACACCTTCAATGAGCGTATGCACTTAAGCATAACAGAGGACTGAGTTTGCATGGAACCTGGCTCTAGAACCCCGCCTCTGCACTCCATGTTCTGGTGGTCGAGATGCTCCATGTAGTTGAAATGCTCACTCGTCGGACACGTGCAGTTCCAATGTCAACCAAAAGCGCCGCTTCAAAAAGACAAGCCTTTTCAAGCGATTCAGGCGCAGCGTGCTGATGCCATCCCTGCAACGTCGCAGTGAAACGTCTCCGTCGAAAGTGCACACACCGCTCTGAATACACGCCGCGCAGAAGTTTACAACGTGCGGGGCACTATTCAATTTCTCTTGGAGCAAAGAGACGCGCGACAGAGCTGCGTTTCCCGTCTACAAGTCTCTTCCCTGGTTAACCCCGCTAATGCCAATACACATTGGCCAGAATCGGAGAATTCAGGAGCCAACGGGCGAGGAGATTGGATGTAACCGCAGGGCTATGCTTGCAGAGGGGAGTTCTCATAGCTAAGAATGCCCTAATCCCCCACGCTTGTATGTTCTCTGTCCAAGATAAAGGACCCCGCCCCAGTCTTCAATCTGGCCTGAAAAGTAAATGGTTAGACGTTGGGGAGTGCCTTGTGGCAATTTGCCTGGGCTGAGATAGATTGGGCCAGGACCTACCAGGCAGCTGCCGTTTTGGCTGCTGCCAGAGGCCTCTGTGAGAATGGCCTAGCACCGCGAGATGCAGTTGCCAGTGGCATGGACTTCTCCGACTGATTACTAGGAAAGGAGCCGAGTAGGGGTTGCTGATCAAATGCCTGGCAACTCAGCACTACAGAATTCTACATTCTACGGGGCCACGAGGCAGTTTCCGTTTTGGCAGCCGCCAGGGGCTTCTCTGCGAAGAATGTATGTCGCCAGCCCTTCCCGAACAACTGTTGCAATGCTTGACTGGGTCTCCTGCAATTTCCACGGGCTCTCGAGCACACATCTGCTTGGGAGCTGCCTCACCCCGCATTCTGCGGGCTTGCCAGGTCGAGGATGCCCTCCATTTGCCTCGGGAGAACGGGAACATCATCAACCTCAAGACAACAAAATCTGTTTCTTGTGGCACACGAATTTCAGACGCAGACTGGTCAGCAGAGCTCGAGGCAGTCCTCAGCCCAGCACTACGCAGGAGCTGCTCCATAGGCCAATGGAAGGTTTGCAAAAGGAGGCCCAGACCATGTCCGAGGGCCGCGGCACGTGCCAGCGCCAGCTCCCGCCGGCACATGCATGATCATCCTTGAAGTCAACAGCGGGCGATTGCGGGCGGGTGATGTCAGAAATCAAAACCATGTAAAACGATCATACATGTAAAAGGTTGCGAGACCTCCCTTCTGCAATCTCTGTCTAGGTGACCAACTGCTTCTTTGGACGCGCCTTGCGGGACCTCAGCGACAAATGCCCGTCGCAGGGCCATGAATATTCACCAGCCGGCATGCAGCATCACTGTGCAAACTGCTAAGCCCATTACTGCATAGCATCCCAGGCTTTCATCATGCCCAGACAAATGCACTTAAGAGCTCCCACAGGATGCAACCAAGCGCAGCTTTAAGAGATCTGCTATGAACTGGCCATGAAGATGAAAGATCAAAGCACCTCTCAGCTGTCGTAGGTTCACCAACATCGTCGTTTTATATGACTCTACACAAAGATGCTCCGTCTTCCTGCCAATGCTGTACAAAAAAAACGTTAATGCATCTCATCTTCAAGGCCTGTGGGCAACCACAACTTGGTAGTACCTCAAGGGGGTGTTGCACAGCCCCCATGCTAGGGGCTATAGTAACATACAGTAACATCATGTGGAGGAGTCGCGACACCCTCGAGATCCCTCGACCCCTTTTGGCAGCACCAGCTGAGAGGCATGCACAGCCGGTTTTTTCGGGGCAGGTCCTGGCCTCCAAGCCGCATTTTGCTTGAACTCTTGACGGACCAAGCTTCCGCGCTGAGCCAATGGCGCCAGCTTCGGAGTCGGAGCTGCCTCATCACTCACTGGGATGAGACGTTCACACCCTCCAGGCTCATAGAGGCACTTCAAACTTCAAACCCTAACGATTCCATTCCAAATGCCCGAATCCACTTCTGCTTTTTACAAAGCCTCTGAGGTCGCGGCCCTCTCTCTGCCGCCGACACAGCAGCACAGCGAGATCATCTGCCCAGGTGCGCAACATCAGAATGTGGCATTCTGAGCTATGTTTTGTCTTCCGAGTTCTCCCATGCCCAGTAGCAGCATACGCCGCCCGTGCAGGAGCGCGCCTCTCGAAGGAGCCCCTCCATCTTGCGAGTGGCTGGGCAGTGTTTGAACGCGGGACGGCTGCGGCGGCTGGAGAATCAAAAAGGCAAACGTCAGCAATTATAGGCGTTGCCTCCTGGCGCCTCCCTGGATAATATAGATGTTGAAGCTTTTGATGAGCGAGGTCGCAGCTTGTAGCAATCGCTTCAAAGCCTGCATATCCTGCATTCATGTACAATGTCTCCGAACGCCCCTGCTGTGCGACAGGTCATGAGATCTGCACGGCGAAGCCTTCATTACATTGGGCCCTCAACCAATACACCCCAAACTCGGGTATCATCTTGTATCATGGCAACTTGCTCAGGTCCAACCATTTGTGCGTGTTGCGCAATGTGCTTGCATCAGTGGTTGCATGTCATTCGTTGCTGCCGCAGCACATGCTGGAATCTTTCTGGACAGGACTGCGGGCTTGGTGTTGCAACAGGCATGCGCATATACGTTTAGGAGCTTCAGTGGCGTCGTTTCTCCCTCATGTGCTGGGCTACCGAAAATGGACTTCGAAAACTTGTGTGAAAACACCGCCGTTCCCTCTTGTAGAGACAACGGAGGCGTAACATCCAATTCAAGGATGCCAAGTGCTCAATGAGCTCTGAAATCAAGTTCTAAAGCCCCCATCCCCACATTCCAGAAATCAAGGTCCTGAATCTGGATCATCTTAGACTGCAGCAGGGGCCTAGGGATGCGGCCCCGAAGTCAGAGACCCCAGGTGCAGCGATGGTATCGCTCTGGGATATCTGTTGAAACTATGCTAATCCTTGCGGCATCCTTCCCGCGCGGGTGCACCCGCAGTAACGTCTCCTTGCGAGAGGGTCTACTCGAGAAGGTCAAGGGAAGTTGAGCATTTCGCAATTCCACTGCTTGATGTAGGTTGGGGGAGTGTCAGGCCAAGCCCACCAAGACCGACGGCAGCAGGTGCAAAACTTGAGGTCAGCACTACCTGCGCGCAGCGCGGCTCTGACGGCCAACGCGGAGGTGATCATCCGACAATCTGCATCAGCTAGGCAGGACCGTGAAACACTCCGTCAACATGCTGCTTCTCGTTGATGATTGCACCGGGTGCCGTGATCTTGCTTTACAGCAGGCACGAAGAACCTGTCGCTCCATGCTTCGGTTGAACAACCATCAACCCGTTGCGTCTAAGCGCTATGACAAAAGTCCTTACATTCCAAAGATGGAGCTACACCAAGGCCTTGAGGACCTCATCGAGTTTGGACATTGCCTTGGACCAAGAAGTCTGGGCAAGGTTGCAGTCTTCTGAGCATCGGGACCTGTGGGGCCACTTCCATGACTGGCTTTTCGTGACGCCAACCGGTTGCGAGAACGTCCTCAAAACTCTCCCTTAGCGGCATGCCGTCTTCATGAACTCGATGGGCTCCTGAATTTTCACCTGCACATCCAAGCGATGAGTCCAAACAATGTACGACTCTATGAGAACTTTATTGGCAGGTCGCTTGTCATTCTTTGGAACCTATGCAACTTTAGCAACAAGCGCTACAGTGAAGCCGATGGTAGCCAGCAAAAGAAAGTATGTTGCACCAGCTGCTACACGAGAACAGGCCTTGCCCTCGCCAGGTTGTCCATAGACATAGTTGTTGGACTGGCGCATGTTTTCAGGCATTTGAGGTCTAACCACTTGAAAGCAGTCAGAGGCAAAACCTTCACCATAGCTGCCTGGCCACAAATGCTCAACCGAAACAACCTCGCTACAGTTTTCGGGCTGGACGCCTCCGCATGAAGTGCCAGACAAGTCAGCCAGGACTGCATAAGAGATCTCATCAGCTGTTTGAAGATCCCTGGCAACGCAGTAGCGATTGCAGACATCTGCTGCCACGGTATCTGTCTGAGCATACAGGGAGCCCATATCAACTGACAGCCTGCTGGCTTGGAGCAACTATCACGTTACTACTAGGTGGCTATCAAAACGCGAGCTCCAGACGTATCTACTCCTTCCCTCTCATATGCAGACGCATGCGAAACAACCTGGCCGACAGGGCTCAAACTTGAAAGTCCTCGCTGCGGGGATGAAGCGACGAGTCTTCCAACAGACTGCGGGCTCTGAGTGGATGGACTTAGGTACCTGTTGACCTCTTGGTCTTCCTACGAGCTAAGCAAAGCATAACATCATAAGTCATAAGCCCCAAATGGGGCTTCAACTTTAAAGAAACTCTTGACCGGTCCCAATTGTTGCCAGCGTACGAAGCGATCTCATCCATCAGCTCAAGGACTTGGATCTCACCCAAGCTGTCACCCAACTGCACAGGGAAGGCCTAACGCTTGTGCCTGCATTTTCCTGCTAATGGCAGTAGTACTACTACATGACGCCGAGGAGAGATTACTAGGTCAACTGTTCCTTCGTGTTGTTTCAGGTGGTGGTGGCAGCGGCGTGGCGACCACAGCAACAGGTGCCGGCAGCAGCTGCATTTGTGGTGACGGCAGTGGTATGGGCTTCTCATCTTGCTTGGCCGATGCGAGGGTGCTTGATTGCGCGAACCTGTCTGAACATCTTTCGAGTCGAACTATTTTCTGTGTCTGTGGATACTTTGGTGTTAGGTCGTCTGCATCTGCACGGCATGCTGTGAAGACCTGCACCCGTCATGGCGCGCTGGCACTTGCTGCTCCATCCCCGAGCCTGAAAAAGCATGCCTTTACAATAGAAGCACTAGCTTCCATTGCAGTGCTCCGAAATCTGCTTCCATGTATCTTAGGCGCATTCAATGCGTGCAATGAAAGATACTCCCATGCAGTGCCACTTTTTGGCTTGCAACTGCAGGCCTTCTTCAAATTGTTCTTGTCCATGCCAAGGTTCCAGAGGTAGGCCACAGGCGGTGTCTCAAGCATGGCAGCTAAGCAAGTTCAACTTCCACATACTTCGGCAAACGCTACCCCGCGTCATGGCTGCGGCTTCACAATTTTGAAGCCCTCAATTCACAGACCTAAAGATAAGATGCTGTGAACTGTTCGCGCCAGATCATCCCTCTGAGCATGAGCCTTGAGGACGGAACGGACGTTATCCCACTTCTGGTCCTGGACGTCTTGCTACACAAGCTTGAAGCAAAACTTGCTCACATCTCGGAGGACACACCTCATCAGGAAGACCCCAGTGCCATTGCTATCAGCGCCTGACAAGACAATCCCCTGTCAAGTGAAGTGAGCTGTCGTCTAAACTCCCTAGTATCCTTAATCATCCCTACAATACTCCCCTATATAGCCCCCTATATAACCCCTTTAAGGAGTTTAGACCCTAAACGCTATATGCCCCTATATAATCCGTATATATTTCCAAAACAACCCTATAATCCCCTATATAACTCCTGCAAGGAGTTAAGACTATGACTACGGCTCAAGCGAGGAGAGGCATCCTGCCAGACAGGCCCCAAAACCCCTCTGGGATGCTGTCGGAACATCTTGCCTAGATTGCCCCAAATGGGTACCCCTACTTTTGGGAGACCCCATCCCTAAAAACCCAATCTAGGTTGTTGAGAACCCCCATATGATCCCCATATTCCCTATAGTTTCCATGTTCTCTTCCATTCTCCTTATGTAAGCCTAAATAAACGCTGTATAAAACCAACCCCTCTACCCTAGACCCTAAGCCTTAGATTCTAGGCCCTAAACCCTAAACCCTATATAACCCTATATATCCCTATATGATCCATGTATAATCCCTATCTAATCCCTAGATAAGCCTTTAAAATCCCCTATATAACCCCCAGGAGCTACCTCAAGAGCTTGGATTCCTTCAGCATCTTGGGGAGTGGCTCCAGAAGCTCCCTTTGTTGCCTGCAGTGAAGCTTTAAGGGTTTAGGGTTTAGGGTTTAGGGTTTGGGGTTTAGGGGTTTAGGGTTTAGGGTTCACGGCATGTAAACGATTTTGAGGACGATTACGTACCGATTTTAAAGATTCTGATGAATCTTTTCACGGCGTACAGGAGCCTAGCACGCCTCGGCCTAACTGAGCGTATGTTCAAGTCCGTCCGACCCATAGTACACATGCAAACATAGTTTCTATGTAATTTGCCATTTGATTCTCCATGATAGGGCCCATACCCCTACATAACCCCTATAAACCTCTATGCAACCCTTATGTAACCCCTTTACCCGTATCTCTTACATAACCTCCAAATCTCTATATAAGGCACTATTTAATACCTTCTGGAGGCAGAGCACTGAGGCTTATCCTCCCCGTCGCCAGGCTCGCATTCAGAGTAGGGCTCATATAAGGGCAAGATATAGGGTCATAGAGGGGATATATTGTGATTTTGGGGTAGAGGGCCACACAATGGTGAATCAAATTCAAGAAATTGAAAATGAAATGGAAAGTGGGTCTGCATTTGTACCCTGTGCACGCATGCTAAAAACATCCGAAAATCAAAGCTTAGACGGGCAGCGTCCAAGGGTCCCCTAAACCCCAAACCCTAAACCTCAAGCCAGAGCCTCCTCATCATGACCTTAAAATCTGTAGCACAAGGACCTTCAGGGTGACAATAATTCTTGACATCCCACCTCAAGTTACAGCAAGAACAGGCACTGTGAAAAGAACATGCTCTACTAGGGATAATCACTTTAGACTATGAATACATCCGCCCCTTTTTTTTTCAATGACCATCTCGCGGCCTAAGCAATGAGATGAGCTCCTCGTTGCTCTCAGCGACTGCAGCTGCGGGCAGCCTCGGCCAAGTCAGCGATGTGTTTTGAAACTATTCTGGTGGGTTCATGGGTTTGCGGAATGCCCATGTGGGTTGTCTCAACATCAAGGATGCAGCATAGCCGTCTGAAGGGCAGAGGAGACTCTTATTGCCAGGCTGTTGCGGGGTTGGAGACTTCTTGGATCGGAGAACGATTTGAGTAGGAACCCGGCTCACCGGTAGCCTGACGTGAGCCAAAACCCAAAACCGAAATCATCGAAAAAGGATGTGGGCTAGGTTTGGTACTCTGAACATTACGCCGTGCTGTGTTCCAACCTGGGGACCGGGCATCAGGGCTGCGCTCGTCCCAAGCAGCACCTGCATCTGTGTCTCTGCTGCAGTCTAGCATCATTGTCCCTATGCAATGTTTCTGACAGGGGCAAAGAGTCGCTGGACATAATGATGCACTGGAGCAGCAACCGCAAAACTCTGACTCTAGCACCCGCTCTGGACTTTTCACCATTTGTTTTCTCCTGCGTCGTTCGCCACTCTCTTGAAGAATGCGAAGCATTCAAATATTTGCAGCATCGCGCACAGCAACCTCAATGCTAAGCAAGGACCTCCGTCTTCCATGCTTTTGAACTTTGCGTAGCACACAGGGGATGCTGCACCACCGTACACCTCACCGCGCGACTGTGAGAAACGGCGACCTGGGCCTAGAGAACTACCCAGCTGCCTGGGATCTGTACCGATTTTAAAAGCCGCACTGCAGTTGCAGGACCTCGGAGTGTTGCTCAGAACCCATGGGCACCCTAAGCTTCAAAGCCTCGAAATACGAACCCTGATGTAGCAGACGTAGCACAGCAGCTGACGGGGATGGTAGGACACAACCGCAGTCAGTGGAAGGCATGTTGGAGATGGAAAGTGCAGAGCCCAGTGACTAGACAGCCAAATACTTCTCAAAACCCTGGATGCCTTCTAGCAGGTCCCATATGCCACACCGACCAAATTCTGTTGGGACCCCAGAGAGGGGGACCCTTAAATTGGAGAAACCCAAATGCGGTTATCCAGCAGTTACAGAGTGGGGGGAGGGAGGTACACAAGGCTGGTGCAACAAGGGCTCAGCAGGGATCTCGGCACTTCTCCTTCTCCAGCAAAGCAGAATCACAAATCTTGCCTGGCCCCTAGCTAGGTTCAGCTTTACTTGGCTGTCACTGTCTCTAAATGAGCTTATGGGGCTAGCCTTGAGCACCCGTAATTCGTAACCTGTGAGTAGGAAATGAAAGTTGGATTCCTACATGAATCCTCCTGACATTCCCTGATCTCGACGACTGCTTCTTTCATTTCCTACTGACCAGAGGCAAGAAGTGCATTTCTCGGCTTCGCGTTGGTTTAACAGAGAGATAGACAGGGACTGCCTCATGCAGCAGGCATTCGTGAAGAAATGTGGATCTCAAGTCTGCTCCTGGCGGCCGTGGTGCTGGGATGTATACAAGTTCGGGCTCCTAAATGCAGAAGCAGAACAGACTTGACAGAAATGTAAATGGATCTGACCGTAGCACAAAAGTTATGAGGCAGGCATGAGCCGGCCCTAACAGCTGTCACAGCATGTGCCTTTGAAGAAGCAGATGCTGTGCGTGAGACAATCTATGGCCATTGGCTCAAGAGCCTGGGGAACAGATCTCTTGCCGGCCATACATATCAGGACATGGCCGAGTCAACAGCAAGACTAAATGAGGAGATCACTGGAACTCAAACCGCAAGTTTGTAAGTTGGCCTCTCCGTCGTTGAGCCCTGCCTCCTCTCTTGCTCCTCCTCATTTCTGGCATGCCGCCAGCAGGAAAACTTCTCGAGCTCCAGGCGTGCGCGCAGGGCACATGCTCTTCCATCCTCACGAGCAACACCTGCCATCGGCCACGCTCCATGACGGCCTTCTTGCTGTCCAAGATCCCCTCCAAGGCGGACAGGACCTCACAGAGGCGCGCCTTCTTGGGGAGCTTCTCCCTCAAGGCGCATGACAGCCCAGTCCGCCAGTCCCCTTTTTTGGGGCTGCGAACAGGCAGGGCCGCCAGGCATGCAGCTGGCAGGTCGCTGTCATTTTCTGTCACAAGTTGCTGTACCCAGGGTGGAGGGAGTGCTAGCACGAACTCCTGCACCCCATCTCTGCCACAGGACAAGGAGAAGGCGTTCGACCTCTGTGCAAGGGCCAAAACCTTGCTGTTTACCAGAAAGAAGTCTGCGTCCATTTCGTCTTCCTCTTTGAGCAAGTAGCACATGGCACGGAGGTTTCTGGCGGTGGCGCGTATGCCTTCCCGCAGGCATGCAAGAATGCAGGTGCACCTTGGAAAGGAATCTGAAGATCGGGTGCTTGATCAAAGTCCACTACCCATGCCGTCATGCTGAGCACGAAGTCTCACACAGCTTGTAGTAAGTTCAGGCGAGCGGCACGCATCCTTCCAGCCATTTCTCGGCCTCATCCAAAACAAGCGATTCCTCCGACTTGCGAACGGCCAAGGCATTCTGCTGTTGACTCCTCGAAGAAAACAACGTGAATACCGAAATGAACGATAGAGTCCCTGAACCAGCATCTTGCTTAGCTTCTAAAAGCAAGAACACAGTCATGAAAAATGACGCATGCAAACACGCTGCTGTTCGGGCTCGCTTGTCGAAGATCTTGAGACACCCGCTGGCGGCTGGCACTCCTCGCGAAATCACGCGAGGGGTTCTCTAAGGTGTCGACATAAGGTCAGATAGCTAGCCAGGCAGAACTCAGTGCAATAAGTGTTCTGAGGGAACATACAGCGACTACTTGAGGGACTCATTCTTCTGCCACCTGCTCATCACCAGCAAACCCGGCCTGAGCACACTCTGTAGCAAAGGGCGCTTCGTTGCCAGCCTCATCGGACTCTTGCGGGTTGGCGCACAACCTTGGGACTGGCGCCTGTTTAAGTAGGTTAAAAAGAACTTGGCCGTCAAGCATTCGTGGCAACCAACATCCTGCATTCTACCAACCAACCAGCGGGGAGACCTTCATGCCAGTCAGGTCTAAAGGGAGCCCTTATGAGAGTTGATAGTGACACTTCGTAAGTGACTTTCACAGGTCTACCTATGTTGCAGCAACCTAAAAGTAAAGCATTGCAGGAAGCCGTGTCAGGAGCTGCTCCTCAAGCCTTTGTGCTTCCTCATCCTGGGTGGCTGTTAAGAAACTTGCATTAAACTACTATGTTGGGGAAACCCTGGCAAGAACTACACTACATATACCCATAATGGCGATTGAATGTAAATTACTTAACCCCTAAATAACCCTAAACCGTAAACCCTAAA